GCAGTGTTTAGTTGGTACGTCCGGTGTACTATACAGTAGGACGGCTGCAGTCTTTAGTTGGTACGTCCGGTGTACTATACAGTAGGACGGCTGCAGTCTTTAGTTGGTACGTCCGGTGTACTATACAGTAGGACGGCTGCAGTGTTTAGTTGGTACGTCCGGTGTACTACAGTAGGACGGCTGCAGTGTTTAGTTGGTACGTCCGGTGTACTATACAGTAGGACGGCTGCAGTCTTTTAGTTGGTACGTCGGTGTACTATACAGTAGGACGGCTGCAGTGTTTAGTTGGTACGTCCGGTGTACTATACAGTAGGACGGCTGCAGTCTTTAGTTGGTACGTCCGTGTACTATACAGTAGGACGGCTGCAGTCTTTAGTTGGTACGTCCGGTGTACTATACAGTAGGACGGCTGCAGTCTTTAGTTGGTACGTCCGGTGTACTATACAGTAGGACGGCTGCAGTCTTTAGTTGGTACGTCCGGTGTACTATACAGTAGGACGGCTGCATGTCTTTAGTTGGTACGTTCCGGTGTGTACTATACAGTAGGACGGCTGCAGTCTTTAGTTGGTACGTCCGGTTGTACTATACAGTAGGACGGCTGCAGTTTTAGTTGGTACGTCCGGCTTGTGCTATACAGTAGGACGGCCTGCAGGTTTTAGTTGGTCCGTCCGGTGCTGTTTGGCCTATTACAGTAGGACGGCTGCAAGTCTTTAGTTGGTACGTCCGGTTGTCCTATACAGTAGGACGGCTTGCAGTCTTTAGTTGGTTACGTCCGGTGCATCTTACAGTAGGACGGACTGCAGTCTTTAGGTTGGTACGTCCGGTTTTGCTACTATACAGTAGGACGGCGCTTGCAGTCTTTAGTTGGTATTCCTGGTGCGCACTATACAGTAGGACGGCTCTTCAGCTGTTTAGTTGGTCACCGTTCCGGTTGCTATAACCACAGTAGGACGGCTGCAGTCTTTAGTTGGTTACGTCCGGTGTGCTTACTTTACAGTAGGACGGGCTTGCAGTCTTTAGTTGGTACGTCCGGTTGGTGTGCCTATTACAGTAGGACGGCTGCAGTCTTTCGTTGGTACGTCCGGTGCTATACAAGTAGGACGGCTGCAGTCTTAGTTGGTACGTCCGGTGTACTATACAGTAGGACGGCTGCAGTCTTTAGTTGGTGCGTCCGGTGTGCTATACAGTAGGACGGCTGCAGTGTTTAGTTGGTACGTCCGGTGTGCTATACAGTAGGACGGCTGCAGTCTTTAGTTGGTACGTCCGGTGTGCTATACAGTAGGACGGCTGCAGTCTTTAGTTGGTACGTCCGGTGTACTATACAGTAGGACGACTGCAGTGTTAAGTTGGTACGTCCGGTGTGCTATACAGTAGGACGGCTGCAGTCTTTAGTTGGTACGTCCGGTGTACTATACAGTAGGACGACTGAAGTCTTTTCAGCTGCATGGCCAGTCCCTTAGCTTTGATTTTTTTATTATTTCCTCTTCTTGGTCAGGTCTCGTTTGTAACCTTTATCGCACGATGTTTAAATCCTTCCCTGAACAAATTCAGCCTGGCCACCTCTGTGCATTTGTTGGTGAAGGTCATGCAAGGCACTTTCAGGGCTGTTACCATAGCAGTCGCACCCAACATAAAACACCAAATGCTCCCGATAGACCATCTTAAATGAAAAAAAAAATATGAAAGAGCGACGCCATCAAAGCACTATCCGACGTGTTGACACGCACTCGGGAGAGAGTCAATTTGACTCCCCGAAGGTTTTTCCGGAATGGTTTCCGAACAGCGCGGCGTAGTCGCTCCAAGCTTTGCGCAGTTGTAGACAATTAAATAGTGGATCGTTTGGTGGCAACAGTTTAAATGTTCCTTGTAAGGTTACTGACCTACGGCAGGTCAAAGTCGAACCATGGATTCAGCGAAGTCAATTTCTAGGGAATCATTCAATCTGATACAACAACGGAGTGTTAGACGGAGCCATACATCCCTGAGACACTTTCTTAGGCAACACAACAATTGAATGAACAGATTCCGATTACCTATGGGCAGGTATAGAGGTCAGATCAAGGCGAAAACAAACCTGCTCTATTACTCCAGGGATTGCTATATGTGGTAATTTTTGGTGCTCATTTCGAACCTATTGATAACAGGAACCGCATTATACATCTTCCATGGACTTCTTAAAGGTCAAAATAGGTCACTCACCTAGAATGACTCCGTTCAACATTTTATTTTGAAACATATGGTCTAGCGTAACATTTGTCGCGTATTCAAATGCAAAACTCAAAAGGAATCTTATATGATTTTGGTCACCATGACCCTTGGAAAGGTCAAACAAGGGCAATAACCTCAAATGAGCATGTGACCTTTTGCTTAGAGCAGGTATCTAGGTTCTGGGGTACTTTGGAGATTAACCTGGAGTTTGACCCGGAGGTCATGACCCAGGAATATCAAATTTAGACATTAGTTACTAAACGCAAACGCCAACACGCCCTATGAATTTGGTGTCTCTTGCTCTCTTAGTTCCTGAGATCGCAGGTTGCGGGGTCAAATTGACTCCCACCTCACCCGAGCAAAGGATGTCCAACCGGCCACACGTGCGCGTATTGACACTGCACGATTTTTTATTTTTATAAAACCTCGTCTCGGTGTAACCCGACGGCACAACGGCAGACAGTGGAGACCAAACATCCGCCCGTCACCTGCCCGACAGTCAGGACCACCAGAGATGCCCTCACCGATACTGGGTCCGGTCAGGTCACAGTCGAACACGTCCACCTTGTAGGAGAAGGTGTCGATGTAGTACATCCGATCGCCGCTTGAGTTCCAGGCCAGCCCGTTGGAGCATGTGACGCCGTCCAGCACACGTGTAGCGGCGCCCTCGGGCGATATGTAGTACAGCGCCCCGGCGCCAGGTGGCAGGCTGCCCGGCTCACTAGTCTGCAGGCCCATCGAGCCTGCCACGGCGACCAACAGGGTCGACGCCGAAACTTTGGAAGACTCAAATGCAGTGGTATGTAGATGCGCATGAGAAGCATGAAACAGCAAATATGGCGCAGTTATGTCTGCTTCTTCCAAGTTGAAATATAACTCACGCCGTGACATGTGATGACACGCATTTCTGCAACATTGTTTCTGCGGTATGCTCTAAAATCATGCCAGAATTCCTGCTTTTATGAGTGATGTCTTCCAGGTCAGTGAGGGCGGCAACGTCTTCCCTAAAATAACAGACAAAGCGTCTCATGAACAAACCAGTTCTCTTACCAGCCCACAGATTGCCTTGGGGATCACACTTTCCGTCGTTGAACCTGTTGGTAGGCCTGTGGTCATCGACCTGGACAAAGTCGCGGACCGTGTGCTTCCCGCCGCTCCACTCGAGCACCGAGAGTGCGCGGCCCGTGCTGATAGCGTAGGTGTCCGGCTGGCTCTCAATCGGCACCACCAGAGACGTCTGGCACGCGTGGGGGTTCGAGGCGTCGTTCTTGAAGTCTGAAAGGATGGCCCATTGCGACTCAGCTCATCCGGGTCACCAGTCGGCTAGGTCAATCAGATTAGGTGAACATTACATTTGACAGGCCAATCCGCCGTTGGATCAACCATAGCAGGTGCAGCGTCGCATGACTCCACGCCATGGCCGGCTGCAATGCGCGTGCTGGGACTGTTTGATTATCGGCATCACAACGGCCGCTCAGCCTCGCATAAGATACGTCCTTATCCTGCCGTATATCATCGGCAATCACATCGTAGCAGTCTGAAGTCCCTGCACATTCACGGACTGATCTGCGGCTTTCGCCAGGGCTCGGACGCTGCGGCGCTCACCGATGTGCAGCTTCTCCTCCACACAGCGGCGCTCGTCCCATCTGTACACGTCCTGTCCGGGGATGTCGACGCTGAGGAGGCGCTGGGTGGGGGCGTCCCAGTGGGGGCCCTCGCCGCACTGGCGCGGCCCACTGATCCGCTCCAGACGGGCCATCCTGCGGCGCAGGCCTGACGTCACGTCCCACTGATCCGCTTCAGACGGGCCTTCCTGCGGCGCAGGCCTGACGTCACGTGCGCGACGCACGCCCCCCTCCCCCCCCCCCCCGCCCGCCCACGCTCCGTCCAACCGTGCCAGCCGATCCCACTTCACTTCAACAGCAGTGTTAGCGCACGTCGCGGTGTGAGGGCGGGGGGGGGGGGATGTCAGCGCACGGTTTCGGGCTACTTGGTAGATTCAGCAAATCACGAGGGGTTTGGAGGGTTTGAACACCAAAAGGAGAATGTCAGCAAGGAAATCGCCTCACATTTTATGCGGCTTTCATGCGCTCCCAGACAAAAAGGCTCTGCTGGGATCTCTGCGAGACATGCCAGTATTTACAGACCCAAAGTCTTCTTGAGCATCCAAGCGTATGTTACATGGAATGCTATCGGAAAGTTCCTTTTCAAAAAGGAAAGCAAGTGATGTAGAAACTGGTCTAATCGCCCGTCCCTCGCCACCCCTAGGTAGTGTACTACCGGAGCCCACCAGCGTTCTTTCCACACCGAACACTCCAAAGCGACGGAACATTAGGGCAATGAGTAAAAATGATTATTCAGAACATCACTTGCCTAGCTATTTAAACAATGGTAGACTCTAGTCGTTACTCGCCATAACAAAGCTACCTCTTTAATATTTTCTTGCATCCGCCACCTGCGCACTTCGCGTTTACCCTCATGTCGGTATCAGATACGGTTCTACATAAGTGCTTCAATAAAAAGTCCTATCAAACGAGTGCTACGACGTTACGGCTGCTGCAAATACTTCGCACAAAATTGGTGCCACGCAATACAAATTATGTTGCAAAAAATGTACCCTTCCAAACTCTTTTGCAGTCACCTACGTAGTCATTGCTTATGCACGATATTAATTTCACTGGAAAAACTTGGACACGCTGTTATTGTTACACAACTACACGCATACTTAATAACCTCATGCCTGTCATAAGCGCACTGCGAAAACTTATTCAGTCCAGTAGCCTTGATCCAGTCTTTACGCATACGCAAGCTTACTTTTACTGCAAATACTTGCCATACAAAATGCGTGGACACTTAGCAGGGCGTAGAAACAGCGCACTGGTTGTTAGTGAACCCCAACTAGGCAATGCTACAATTCAAAGTTCGTGGTGCCCATGCGAAGGCAATTCATTACGTTACATGATTTTGTCGATTTACTGCGCTTGGCGCATGAGCGAAAGCCGTAGCTGTGGTAGAAGAATCCCGATGACGCGTAAAACTTAATGAAATATTAATTTTGTTGTGTAGCACTTGAGCCTTGCATAAGTCAAGGTCATGGAAGTCACGTCGCGTTTCAGTAAACACCAGGTCAAAGGTGTAGCTCCATATTCAGTTTCCATCCACCCGATATGTGCCATGGGAAGGTATCTCACATTGTAGGCAAACGCCGTGTTCCATGTATTTGGAAGCCGTCTCGGCCGTCTTTCCCTGCTTAGCCCCTTGACGTTGCATTGCGATTGCTGCGGCAGTGCATCATAATTTCAGTAGAAGAAATGTCGCTTAGCACCGTTGCCGTCGTGGGTCTGTCGATCGCAACATTCGCAGCAGCAATAAGATATTGGCGCCATGGAGTGGGCACTTCTAGTCTGGAGGGACCGCCCGTCCACGTGCTCCCATGTAAACGTTCCCTTCTGCATTCTGGTGAGGGCTAAACTATGGGCTGGAGCATTCACGGCTATAATTCTTGCAGCATGGCCTGTATCGCGGTGTACAAATGTCGCGTATAAGTGTTGGCCGAAGAACTGATATCACAGATTAGTCAACTGCTGCATAGGCTTTGCAGTGAACATGGTGATATGAACTTTTGTATTGGAAGTTTGTCATAAGTTTTCAAGTTTGGTCTCACGGCACTAAAGTCGCATGTAACTTGCTGCAGGAGAAGAAATGTCGCATAAAATTAATGCTGTATAAGTTTTTGCTGTAAAGATCATGACATGTTCTGTTGGAAAGTTCAAGTTTTGTCCTGCATCACTCACGTCGTATATGAGTTTTCGAAGTAGAAGTGCTGTGACGTAAAAGTAAAGACTAAAAGATCTTGCAGCGAATGTAATCACTGGCATAAGTTTTTGAAGTATACATTTTGTCCAGGAGCACTTTTGTATAAGCCATTGCAGTAGAAGTGATGCCGCGTTTAAGATTTGTGTGCAAAAGTTCTTGCATTATAAGCAATGTCACGTATAACCAAGTTCGTAGCACTCCTGTTTTTGCGGTAGCACTCCTGTCAGTAGGGGTTTTTGCCGTAGCACCCATGTCCAATGTCATGACACCATTAAATTAGTTCTTCTGACGAGCTTGGTCGGCTCAGGTTTTGGTGACATTGCATTACAAAGGTTAACCATGGCAGGCCCTTCCACTCCTTTCCAAAGCCTGATTAGAATCGTGCAGTAAAAAAGTAATTTCATTGCTGAAGAAAAGAAATGAGGGCGGTAGCAGACCAACGTTCCCCTACCTATCTTAGCACGAGCAGGACGATTTGGACTGCAGTTCCACTCCGAAGTTTCGTAAGCAGCCAACCGGTCTTCGAAACACAGTGTCTATCTGTCTTGACACGATGCCTGCCGCTCAGCCACTCGGCCGTCTCACTGCGCCCTCGGAAAGCCGCCAATGCGTTTATCTATAACTATGGCGATTAAAGTGCAAAAACCGCGCGATAGCTGTCACCTCCCCGCGCCTAGATAGGCATTTAGGGTGTGTCAGCGGGCCGTGCGTTCATTCCTCCCGTTTTCGTTACCAAACAATTGATTAGAAGAAGAGCAGTTTCGTGAAGGACTGACGCAACAGTAAACACCTAGAAGCTCCTCTCAGAAGGAAGAGTGCAATGCGGAGGGAAGCAGGTCTTGAGGAAGAGGACGCGCCGACCTCATCCCCTGTCCATCGACACGTGACGACCGCTGAATCAGCCACCGAGTGCCGACGCCTGGCCGTCAGCAAGGAATTATTGGGTTGAAACGGGAAATAGATGTAAATATGAAGACATGGTCAAGATCAGTGCCGAACAAAACGATATCTAGTTTGCTTTGTGAGGCTATGGGGTAACTGATGAAAGCATCACTCGCCCCATTGCAGAGCTGATGTTTACGTAGTAATAAGGGGAGGATGAGTTAAAGCGTTTCGTGCCTCTTTGCGATGTCCACATGAGCACGAGGGTCTTTTAATTTTAAGATCCTAAATACGGGATTAGTGGTATGGACATTTCCAGGCCGTTTGGTATGGACACTTCCAGGTGTAGTATGGTGTTCATTCAGAGTCTGCTGATTGATTAAGGTGTGGATTAGATGTTCAGAATCGTCCCAACTCAACGCGAGAAGTATATATTTTTGTATGGCTAGGGTAGATCAGCCCACACTCTGACAGCTTTCGATGTGCAGGGACGTAGGGCATAGGTAACGAAGGGAGGAAGGATTAGAGGTGACCCCCCCCCCTCCCCAACTTTCTGAATGTTTAAAATTACCCCATTGGGATTAACTAAAGAAAAGAAACTGGGTGTCTTCCCCTCTTCCAACTCGGGAGACCTACCGCTGCCGCTGTGGGTATTTACACATGATCTCTTAAAGGTTGCCTGATAAAAAGTCGAATGGGAAAGGTCTAACAAAGAAGTCAAAGCGAAACAGTCCACTGGGATGCAATTTGACAAAGGTAGAGACAGATACGAATAGAAGTTGACAAGGATAGAAGTTGACAAGGAAAGGAATTGACAAGGATAGAAGTTGACAGGGATAGAGGTTGACAAGGATGGAAGCTGAGCCAGAAAAGGCTGGATGACAAAAGTAAGAAGGGATAAAAGCCAAATCAGGAACAATTCGGAGGGCAAAAGGGCGAGATAAAAAACTGGACTGGGATGAAAGCCGATTTCGATAAAAATCGAACAACAAAAAGTGAAATAAAATAAGTTGAGGGATGGAGAATGGAATGATAGCGATGTCGCCTACTGCACCCGGTTATGCCCCTGGATATCAATGGGATTCTATGCCACATCGGTGAGCTCTCTAATCCAGGCCCGCCCGCTGTCACCCGGAAAACGCTCCCGGCGGCATCAAAACGCCGCACCTTCACGACCGAACCCTGCGCAGCGTGCTCTGAGGCCGTCAGGTGGCTGGCCTTGCTATGATTGCCTATCTAACGTCTGCCCACTCTCTCTCAGCTAGCTTCTGTCCGCTCTCCCAGCTAGCTTCTGTCCGCTCTCCCAGCTAGCTTCTGTCCGCTCTCCCAGCTAGCGTCTGTCCGCTCTCCCAGCTAGCGCCTGTCCGCTCTCCCAGCTAGCATTTGTTCGCTCTCTCAGGTAGCTTCTCTCCGCTCTCCCAGCTAGCGTTTGTTCGCTCTCTCAGGTAGCTTCTGTCCGCTCTCCCAGCTAGCGTTTGTTCGCTCGCTCAGGCAGCTTCTGTCCGCTCTCCCAGCTAGCGCCTGTCCGCTCTCCCAGCTAGCGTTTGTTCGCTCTCTCAGGCAGCTTCTGTCCGCTCTCCCAGCTAGCTTCTGTCCGCTCTCCCAGCTAGCGCCTGTTCGCTCTCCCAGCTAGCGCCTGTCCGCTCTCCCAGCTAGCGTTTGTTCGCTCTCTCAGGTAGCTTCTGTCCGCTCTCCCAGCTAGCGCCTGTCCGCTCTCCCAGCTAGCGTTTGTTCGCTCTCTCAGGCAGCTTTTGTCCGCTCTCCCAGCTAGCGCCTGTCCGCTCTCCCAGCTAGCGTTTGTTCGCTCTCTCAGGTAGCTTCTGTCCGCTCTCCCAGCTAGCGCCTGTCCGCTATCCCAGCTAGCGTTTGTTCGCTCTCTCAGGCAGCTTTTGTTCGCTCTCCCAGCTAGCGCCTGTCCGCTCTCCCCGCTAGCGTTTGTTCGCTCTCTCAGGTAGCTCCTGTCCGCTCTCCCAGCTAGCGCCTGTCCGTTCTCCCTTCTAGCGTTTGTCCGCTTTCTCAGTTAGCTTCTGTCCGCGCATCCCAAAATTCGCACATGCTCTTGTTTGGCTGGGATGGCAGTGAGCGACAGAGGCGCCCACGACCATGGCGACGCACGGCCCGTCGTTGTTAATCCCGATTTCTGTACTTATCGTCGTGAACAACCCCGTGGGTGGTCCCCGCTGTTGGTTTCTGGTTCTCACTCCCCTCCTGAAAACTAGATCTTGGGGTCCTGTTCTCGGCTGGCTATTTTACGAAACGCATCCCATGGTTCTTGGATGCCCTTGGCTGTTTTGCGAACACCGCACCCCGGCTCATGGCTCTCGCTGATCATTCATGGTTCCCATTGGTTCCTTCTCAAACGCCAAAGCCAAGTTCCTTGTTCTCATCAGCATTCCGCAAACACCGGACCTTGGTTCTTGGTTCTCACACAAACGCCAGGCCCTAGTGCATATATTCCACTAGTTCCTCACACACACAGCTCTGGTTTCTGGCTTACAATAGTTCACTCAAGAAAGGCCAGATATCGGTTCCTGCTTACCCTTGGTTCATTCGTTAGCCTTAGAGTGAAAATGTTGGAGGTCGCCCACGTTTCCAGCTGATTGTGCGATGATGTCACATAACCAAGAGTTTATCATTTCCAGGTGCTTGTAGGACCATAATAATCGGTGGACGTATGGTTACAGAGATGCAGTTTTTGCAAAATACATAGGACTGATGGAGAGAGAGTAGGGCAAGGTGTGGCTCACTATCATTTCAGAGTCGGGAGCAGGGATTAAGTTTCTCAGGCTTTGCGGGACCTGAACACCCAAAAATTATAAATGATGAAAAAGAAGAAGAAATGATAAGTAAAAAGTCCATATTTCTGGCTGGGAGCGCGATCCCCTACCTCAAAAGAAAAACAAACACCGCTATAGGGCTAGCTATGTAAAGTAAACCCTTTTCGGATAGTTTTGTTAGACTAGTCTCAACAAGCTTTCAGTGTGTGTTAACTTGATGCGAGTCTGTCTGCATATAGTTAAACACACGCGCACGCACATTAACATGGTGTGTATTTATGAAAGTAATTGGTTAAAAGGCGGCTGCATTTCAGTATGTAACTGATAATCACCCTGCTGTATGTGGCGTAGTTAATATCAATCAGCGAAGGATGCGGTCAGAATTTACTCAAGGAGCCAAGCACAGATCTTGGGCCGAAACATTTGCTGAAAGTGACCAAGTTGGTACTATTTGGGACTCTTGCAAAACTTATCATGCTGTCTTACCCATCAAATCCAATAACAGCCCCCATGATGTCGGATCCCTTGGGTGCTTTTAGTCCGCGAATTTTCACCTTTGAATGTCATGGGGTTGAGGACGGGTCTGAAGGTTATGGCATCTTCAGGCTTATGTGCGTGCATGCGGCACTTACCTAGTTTGCCATCAAGTGACCTGTGCCGAATATATTTTAGGCATGTTCTTTTCTTTTGTTGTTAGGGCAATGCCATTAAGACTACACAGGTGAAAACGCGAACTTGATGATGAGCATGTCAAACACGAAGTTTGGTAATGCTCATTCATTAGCCCTCGACCTGATTCGCCGTTTTTTCCTAACGCAGACTGCTGCAGGTGGGTTGCGTGGTTGCGGGCGCAGACTGCAACGCAAATTGTTGCAATGAGACCCCTCCCCGTTTCTAAACTAACGTAGGTAAAGCGCGAATAAAAAATCATCAGATTGGTCTTAACTAGAGCTCACAAACGGGAAAACTTTTATTCCAGATAAAAAAGATCAAGAGTCAAATATTCCCGAAAATCGAACATTTTCAGTTTTATGTGCTCCTACGTACGAGGCCATACCCCGAAATGACACTTGATCCGAACAGACGTGTCCTTTTTCTAATGGTGAGTACAACGGTGTGTTATTTTATGTATTTTGAACATAAATTTATCACGCAAGGTTCCGTCAATGTATCAGTGTCACCTTGTCACACTTACCGTCTGTTAGGTGCCATGTAGTGTTCAGAAAAAAACATCGACTTCTAAAAAACAGGAATGCTACGAACAAGTTTCTCCCCCCCCCCCCCCTTTCTCTATCAGTCCTCGTTATGAAAAGCGGCGAGTCCGGGCTCCGCAACCCGGCATTAGTGCTTCTCAACCCTGTGCCGGACACGCGGCTGCTCCAGGGCCGAAGGCGTGCTCGCTCTAGTGCTGAACAACCACTCCTGTGTCAGACACGCGGCTGCTGCAGTACCGAAGGCGTGCTCGTTCTAGTACTGAACAACCACTCCTGTGTCAGACACTCGGCTGCCCCAGTGCCGAAGGCGTGCCCGTTCTAGGGCTGAACAACCACTCCCGTGTCAGACGCGCGGCTGCTCCAGTGCCGAAGGCGTGCCCGTTCTAGGGCTGAACAACCGCTCCCGTGTCAGACGCGCGGCTGCTCCAGTGCCGAAGGCGTGCCCGTTCTAGTGCTGAACAACCACTCCTGTGTCAGACACTCGGCTGCTCCAGTGCCGAAGGCGTGCCCGTTCTAGTGCTGAACAACCACTCCTGTGTCAGACACTCGGCTGCTCCAGTGCCGAAGGCGTGCCCGTTCTAGGGCTGAACAACCACTCCCGTGTCAGACGCGCGGCTGCTCCAGTGCCGAAGGCGTGCTCGCTCTAGTGCTGAACAACCACTCCTGTGTCAGACACGTGGCCTCTCCTGTGCCTGATACG